AGCAGCGAAGCGCAGCAGCCCGTCGACAGAGAGAGGGGACGCTGGCTCCTCCAATTCCGAATGGGCTTGCAGTTCTGTGATTACCGAGAGCCCCCGCCCCAAAACCTTGCTTGCCTCGTCCGGAGTCACCTCTGCCCAAGAGCTGGCAGCACCGTGTCCGGCAAGGTGTGCACTGGATTTGGCCTCCGCGCAAATCACACTGTCCCATGATACTCCGACCCTCCAGCTGCTCTCTTCAGCCTGGTTGGAGCCTTGGGCCACGAAGGCACTGCGCCAGCTAAGGAGGCCGAAGCCGGCGACCTGCAGGAAAGGAAAACAAACGTCGATCCAGTTCGCGAAGACGCGCAGGCACCAAGATCGGTGCCGCCAGCACCACTGCCGATCGCACCATGGAGCTGACCTGAATGCACGAGTGCACGACAGCATCGTCCGATAGAAGGTCAGATTGGCCTGCTGCTTCACAGGAGGTGCGGCTGCTGAGAAAAACAGCTGCACAGCGAGGCGATAGGCTGCTCACACAGGACGGCTCGTAACAGACACACAGGCAGAATCTAGCTGCTAGCTCTGGGAGCAGCAGTACGCCTTAGAGGCCTTAGAGAGTGAAGTCGTCTGCAGTGTCGAGCGCTTTTCGACTTCCGCACAAGCGAGCCGCTGCAAAAATGAACAGCCGTTCGGCGCCCATCCTGCGTCAGGACTTTCCCGCTCAACATGTGCTAGTGGCGTGATGTAAAGTGTAGCAGGAGACATTACTGCTCAAGCCTGCAAGCTTTCCTGTGTTGGTGGCGACGGCACAACTGCCAGCAAACAAGCCTTTTGGAATGAAATACCCTGCAGCATTGATTCCTCGCACCCCGCCGGGAGGCCCCAGGCCTTATGCTGTCAAGAAATAAGCAACATATGCACTTGGGCAAAACAAGGAACCCTAGTCACTAGTCGACAAGACTCGGGCAGCACGGATGCAAGCACGTATGTAGTGCCATGAAGCTTATGCCTGCAAAGATGATAGCACTGTTCTGCTTTACACTGGCCCCATAAAGATACGCCGTGTCGTATCGTAGTGCCTTGACCGACCTCATGGGGCGTCGGAGTGTCCCTGCGCAAGCAATGATTGGCTCAGCCATCTACGAGCAGCTTCCACCTGTCCTGGTGCCAGCTTAGCTAATTACTGAGGGGTCACACGTGAAACCCACTCGTAAGCTAAGCCGAAAGCAAGCTGCCATGTCGCCTAAACAGATGGACCATGATGGACCTTGAGGAGGGGAGGGGGGGGGCCGTAAGGAGGAGGAGAGGGGGGGGAACCCTCCCCCTGACCTTATGCGATGTTGCTGTGACCTTGGGACCTTGTGTCATCAATCATTTACGGGTGGCGCAGAGGCGGGAAGGGCCCCCCCCATCCCCCCCTTTAAATAGTGAAAAGACCTGATAAGGTCCTGCATCGTCCTGCACGCAACTTTGACCTAGTTCTCTACTACCCAAGTGAAAGGTAAACGACAACTCCCGCAAGCTCCACAGAGCCAGCTTTCGCGACATACATGTAAGGTATCTATCTATCTATCTATCTATTTATCTGTCTATATAGGGGCACGAGTCTATGTGCATTTGACGCTCGAATTCACTGAAGCCAAATTCGGTCCGACCCCGGCCCCAAACCCTAAACCCTAAACTGACCGCAACCCTAAACCGTAAACACGCTTTTGGGCCTGAAAGCGTGGTCGAGGTTTGGAGTTAAAATGCACCCCCCGGTAAGGAGCAAAGCTTGGAACAAGCCCGACAATTTGAGCTCCTACTCGGCCAATCCCTCCTGCCTAGTAGTAGGTCTTGCCGCCACCTCGTTGCAACGAAGAGGGACAGCAACACACCACCCGAACGATCCTGGCACTGCACGATTCCGAGGCTACCACCCCACTTCTCCGGGATGGTCTGGTTCTGATACAAGATGTACGCAGACATGTCGTACCTGAACTCAGCTGGCTGGGTCAGCGGGAGAGAATTACATAGACACAAAAAAGACTCTGAGGTCTGAGCAAGTCCTCACACGGTTCGCACACACACACACACACTTAGAAGGCAATCAGCAGCATAAGGACTGCAAGCCGCCCTCTGTTGAAGGTTGTAAGTTCTAGCCCCACTCCTGCTGCTTCATGGAGCGCATCTTCGGCCAGATGTCGCCGCCCTTGATGGATGGGTGGACCTCGGAGATGTCCTTCAGACCTTACGAGGCAAAAAGTTGCAGGCGCAAGGAACATCAGTTGCCACGCTCGTGCGACTCGCATACACTGAGCACGGCGCCGTCGTACGTGGTGGGGTTGTTCAGGTAATCCACCAAGCCTGAACTCAGAACGGCAGAGGTCGACAGTAGGTCGACCGGTCTAGAGAAAGAGCACCATGGCACCTGGCGAGACCCTAAGCTCCTTGCCTTCGACGGAGGCACGGTTGGGCTGCGCCCCGCTGAGCTCCTCGATGGCCAGGCC